AACCTTCGATGAGTCGACTCATGAACAGTTATGAGTCGACTCATGACCTCATATGAGTCGACTCATAACTGATGAGTCGATTGGTCAGAAACTTTTGCTAACAGGACTGGGTTTCGTGAGTCGACTTATGACAGGCATGAGTCGACTCAACCTGATGGGTCGACTCATGCACATGTATGAGTCGACTCACGAGCTGAAAACTGAATTCTTTGAATCTGCTGCTCGTCGTCTCGTTCCACGCTTCCACCTACGTTCCACTGTATTGTTTTACACCCTTATTCTCATGCTATCATGAGAATCATCTATCTTCAAGCTCCCATGAGGATCGCTAAGTTCCGAAGAGAAGATACACCCGTATCATAGGTCCCCTATTTAAGAACTTGAAGTCCTGTTCAAGTTAAAACTTTTGCTGAGGAAACTCTCGAGCTCCTCCATCTTTTCTGTACCATTTGGCCCTGCTAGGAACTTGGTCTCGACGTCCGATCGGAAACATCTCATCCATCCCGCGTCTCATCGTAATCACCTTTCGCCCCAAGTTGTAATCCTTTATCGATGGTTTTTCTGAAAGTCTAATGCACAGCGAGACAAACTTCTTGCTTGCATTCACTAGCCTCTTCGCTCGCGTCACCGTCCCCAAGCTTGTCTCCCTCGGAAGAGATGCCGAACGAAATATGAACTTTTCACCATCCTTAGTAAATGTGTACTTCTGAGCCGGCCTCTCGTAGATCGCATATCTATCCCATAAGTACGAATTGCCCAGTATAATCTGACAAACATCTAATGGAACGACGTCGCACGTGACCTCGTCAATATACGACTCGTGGAGCGTAAATCTGACAGTGCATTGATCAACTACATTCAGTTTCTCCTCCTTCTGAATCTACCCCAATGGATAGGGCTTCGGATGCTTGACTGTCTTCAGACCCAGCTTCTGAACCAATACCTCGGATATCAAATTCTTCTCGTTGCTCGAATCAACAATGGCATCAACCGAACTGGTCTTTACTTGCAACTTAAGAACAAAGAGTTTCTCTTTCGGGTCGTCGTCCTCTTTCGTGATCTGCTTCCCCGCCATAAGGTTGAGACTATTGTTGGGTTCTGTCATCCCCGGGACTTCTTTCGGACATTGAGCTATCATGTATGTCTTTTTCTCCTTCTTCTTCAACCCTCTTGGCTTGAGATGAGGATACTTTTCCCAGCACCGATCAGCTGTGTCATGTCTTCTCGTAGTGACTACAAATCAGCCCTGCCTTCCCTGAATCACCCTTCTTCTTCTCCTCCTTAGATTGAGAACCACTAGACTCGTCTCCCATCTGTTTGGAGTCTCACTTAGCCTTGTTGCCCTTCTTTTGCTTGCCCTCGAGGGCAATAGCCTTCACGTTCGCCTCTGCAATTGATTCTACCGTGAATAGCTTCATCTCCTTTCGGATGTAATTGCTCAATCCCGCCATATACTTCATAAACACGGAATATTTCTCTGTCGCAATATTAAGGACCATTGCCTACTGCTGGAACTCCGTGGTGTGTTCTTGAACAGTTTGATTAACCCTTTAGCGCAAGCCGTACCACTTGTACCAATGCTCTTTAAGGAATCCCACCGGGTAGAACTGCTTCCTCAGTAACTCCTTGAACTTGTTCCACGATACCGTCTTCTTCTCCTGCTTACAGTAGGATTTCTACCACGTCAACGCGTGCCCTGAAAGCTTCAATGTCGCGAACACAATTTTTTTTTTGACGAATAGCCATAAAGAGTAAAATACGTCTCCATCCGCTCGATCCAGTCATCAAGCCTCTCGACGTCAACACTCCCATCATAAACAAGAATCTCCACCTTGAAGTCAATCTTCAGGTTCTGATAAGAATTCTTACCCCCTTGATGCAATGCAGTCTTAATGGTCTCCTCCTCTTCGTCGGAATCTGAATCTACTCTTTTCACATCGGACTCAATAATTTTCTTCGAAGAAGATTCACCTTGTTTGTCACCTCCATGGATAAGATTGACAAGTTGTGTGAGAGTCGAACCTATCCTCTCGATATGCTTCTCCAATGCATCAATCCTCGTGGAATTATCTCCTTCAACCATCTTCTTCCTCCTTAAAACCTAGACTCATTCCAATGAAATAAGGACCTCGCCAAGCTTTTTTTGTATTACGATCGAGTCAGGACCATACACAGAATACCCCCTTCGCAGGATCTGATCGTTCTGATATCAACTTGATACGAGTTGTCGTGCGAGCACCATTTGGTCGTGAAATTACCAAAATGTGGTTTGAGAAGAAGACAACCAAAACACAAGAACAATTCAGTTTGGCGAAGAAAAATACCTTCTCTAGATTATGAAGAATCAATTATTACAAATCTCTCTCTCACATTCTTACTAGAATCGAGAACAACCTCTCAATCCTCTCTAAACCCTAATACAAAGATTAGAATTTCTCTCTGATCTAAGATCAAAATAACCCTTTATATAGGTGTACAAACGTGGATGGTAATCTGGTAAATAACCAAGCCCAAAACCAACAGGAATACACGTGAACAGAAACCCAAACGAACCGGAAACCTTCGATGAGTCGACTCATAAACAGTTATGAGTCGACTCATGACCTCATATGAGTCGACTCATAACTGATGAGTCGACTGGTTAGAAACTTTTGCTAACAGAGCTGGGTTTCGTGAGTCGACTCATGAGAGGCATGAGTCGACTCATGACAGACATGAGTCGACTCAACCTGATGAGTCGACTCATGCACATGTATGAGTCGACTCATGAGCTGAAAACTAGATTCTTCGAATCTGTTACTCGTCGTCTCGTTCCACGCTTCCACCTGCGTTCCACTGTACTGTTTTACACCCATATGCTCATGCTATTATGAGAATCATCTATCCTCAAGCTCCCATGAGGATCGTTAAGTTCCGAAGAGAAGATGCACCCGTATCATCAAGCTAATATAGTAAACTTTTATAAGTATTTAAATGCTTGATTATTAGATAATATGAATTTTGTGGGGCTTTGTTTCTTTGAATATGTTTAGAAGAAGATGGGTATAAAGGATTGTTCTGACTACACGACTGCACATACTCTGTAGTTGCTACAGCAAAATGGTAGCAAGGTAATATCCCAATGACAGATGAAATCTTAACAATCCCTATCACTAATTTTAATTAGTATTATGTTGTTTTAATTTATTAACATCCCGTACACATAAAATTATGCAGTCGGACTCTAAAGGTGAACTTCACTAAATTATTATTTGCAACTTTAATTGTGGACATAATCTAACTCATGTTGTGTTCTCAACAAACTGGTTCAAACTTCAGAAAAAAGCCTTTGACATCATCATATTATGTTCCAAATTTATTGCAAATATGTTAATGTGAAACTGCACCAAAATTTCTTGGGTTAGAAGTAGTTACAAATATACAATCCCGTAGTGAGAGTGCATTGGTTTCTATGTCTAAATCCTAACTCGCGTTTCTTTGACTTTCTCCAGAGATATATATCACTATCTTAGAGAATTAGTTAGCAGCCTTTTCAACAGGCTAAGAATGACAAAATCTTTTCATTGATGTCAATAGCAGTTAGCTTCACTAATACACATTAAGTCCAAAGTGATTATGTGATTCAGATTCTTTATAATTATTCACTTCGTTGAGCTAATCGATTTCACAAATTATTTTTTAAATGCTTGAGGGATGGAATGTGGGTTTACGAACTAAGATCATCTATAGTTACCTCCATTTGGCTAACGAACCGAACGTGAGACACTTGTGCATCAACCCAAAAAGGTCTATAAAATGTAATTTTCATGTAAATTTTCAGGTGTATGTATTTAGTTTTTATCCAAATCAAAACCAAGTAGAAGACCTGAAGAATTTCATTATAACATAAAAAAAATTAAACAAGTGTATACAAGGGAGCAGTGATAACTAAACTATACTTTTTTAAACTACTCTCACGCTACACACCTGAAGTTGTGGGGTCCTTGATGACTCGTCAAATTTGAAAGCAATTCAAATAAGAAAGACCTCACACTTTTCCAAGTAGTAGTGTAGGAGTAGTTTGAAGAGTATAGTTTAGTTAGAATTATCCTGTAAAGGTTAGTTATACTATTTTCTATTTAGTAGTTTTATAACTTTGAAGTATATTCTTTCTTTCAGTACGATTATTTCTATATTTCCCTTTATTTTTGTATTTTACTTATAATAATGGGAAAGTTGCTTTGTTCTAACTGTCTTTGTTTCTTTAGAAAAGGTTTCTAAACGTGTATCTTATTTCTTTTATTTACTTATGGTTTGTTTTGATTCGACATATTCTGATTCATCTATTCATATTAGCCCTAAGAATCTTTTTTTCTTCTCTTTTTTGCAGGTTTTGATTTAATAGGAAATACTTTGAATTCCCTTCAATTAGTACTATTCCTCTTTATCTTCCTCTTCTTGACAAGAACTCTCAATTAGACAAAACTACTCATGATTAAAAATTTAGTTAGCATATGATAATCCTAATGTAACATTATTTAAATATTATAAATTTTATTGGCTTTTGTTTTGTTCAATTGGTATTGTTATGATGATGAATCTCTCGCTAACTGATAATCAAATTTGTAACTTAATGATGATCAGCTAAACTTTTTGGTTAATGAAATTTTAAAATTCATCTTCTTTTGTCTATTTTTAAAATAAAAGCTCAACAAGAAAATATTCCGTGCAATGCACGGGGATCTGAAACAACATATGACTAATTATTCAAACAACCCATTATTTAAAATTTTACTACTTCCAGACTGAACTTACTACCCTCACAGTTCTACTGTTGCAGATAGACCCCTTAAAACAGTTTCAATTGCTGCAGATAGGCCCCCGAGCTTGTTGCAGATAGAACCCCTGAAAGGGGTCAAAAAAAAATTCACTCATGGGGGTCCATCTGCAACAAAGGTTCAGCTCAGCTGAGACAATATACCTCAAAAACCAATCAACCATAATCAAACAAAAAACCCAACCTTTCGAGCCTTGGCGAGCTTCCGACGGTCAAGCTCGTCCTGCAACTGGCGAAGATTGTACCGCAACTTTGCGCCCTTATCGGGCAAGCCCTTGCGCAAATTAGAGCCCAAGGTATTGGAAATCCTCTGGATTTTTTCACTGATTTGATGATCGCTCAGTGCGGATATGAAGCCCGGATCGATGTTATTGCGAACAATCTCTATTTCAGGGGATGGGGAATCGGTGTTTTTAGAGGAGAGGAGATCATTCCAATCGAATGTTAGAGGGGCTTTGGCCATTAAAAGAGAAGGGGGGAGGAAGAAAGAGGCGAATAGAAGAGGTTTTGTTTGAAGGGTTGTTTGGGGGGTTTCCTTCATTTTTTTTAGGGAAAAATGCTTCTAGCCCCTAAAAGACAAGAAAATGTGCTTCTAACCCTTAAGATTTTGTCACCGGGTGTTTTGCCTCCAAAAATAAAGATTTTATTCTCTGAGCCTCAAAACACAAAACCCAAGAGATTAAAATATGTGAAGACCATAATATCCTTCTCTCTCTCTCTTTATCATGATGTATTGAGATGATAGTTAAAATGATTGATGAGAATTATTTTATTATTTTTGTTTTTTATTATTTTCGTTGTTTGTATTGGGAGATTGTTAAAGTTACGGGGTTTTTTATTATTTTCGTTGTTTGTATTGGGAGATTGTTAAAGTTACGGGTTAATTGTTAATGTTACGAGTTAATTGTTAATGTTTAAAGTTACGGGTTAATTGTTAATGTTACGAGTTAATTGTTAATGTTACGGGTCAATTGTTAAGGTTATGGATCCTCTCCCCCTCTCACCCTCTCTTTATCATGATGTTACTGTGATGATATTAAAATGATTGAAGAGGATTATTATTTTATTATTTTTGTTTTTTATTATTTTCGTATTTTTAGAATATTCGTTGTTAAGGATAATGATTGGTTGTAAAGGTTATGCATTGATTGTTAAGGTTACGAGTTGGTTGTTAAGGTTACGGGTTTGTTGTTTTATGCATTGATTGTTAAGGTTACGAGTTGGTTGTTAAGGTTACGGGTTTGTTGTTAAGGTTATGGGTTTATTGTGTAGGTTACGAGTTTGTTGTTAAGGTTACAGGTTTAATTGTTAAGGGTTACGGGTTTAATTGTTAATTGTTAAGAATAATGATTGGTTGTGAAGGTTACGGGTTGGTTGTTAAGGTTACGGGTTGGTTGTTAAGGTTATGAGTTTGTTATGTAGGTTACGGTTTAATTGTTAATGTTACGTGTTTAATTGTTAAGGTTATGGGTTTAATTGTTAATGTTACGAGAGAGAGAGAGAGAGAGAGAGAGAGAGAGAGAGAGAGAGAGAGAAGGGATACATAACCTTAACAATTGACCCGTAACCTTAACAATTAAACTCATAACCTTAACAATTAAACTCGTAACCTTAACAATTAAACCCGTAACCTTAACAATTAACCCGTAACCTTAACAATTAAACCCGTAACCTTAACAATTAAACCCGTAACCTTAACAATTGACCCGTAACCTTAACAATTGACCCGTAACCTTAACAATTGACCCGTAACCTTAACAATTAAACTCATAACCTTAACAATTGACCCGTAACCTTAACAATTAAACCCGTAACCTTAACAATTAAACCCGTAATATTAATAATTAAACCGTAACCTTAACAATTAAACATGTAACCTTAACAATTAAATCCGTAACCTTAATAATTGACCCGTAATCTTAACAATTAAACTCGTAACCTTAATAATTAACCCGTAACCTTAACAATTAAACCCGTAACCTTAACAATTGACCCGTAACATTAACAATTAAACCTATAACCTGCACAACAAACCCATAACCTTAACAAAAAACCAGTAACCTTAACAACCAACCCGTAACCTTAACAATCAATGCATAACCTTTACAACCAACCATTATCCTTAACAATGAATATTCTAAAAATACAAAAATAATAAAAAACGAAAATAATAAAATAACAATCCCCTTCAATCATTTCAACATCATCATAGTAACATCATGAGAGAGAGAGAGAGAGAGGATACATAACATTAATAATTGACCCATAACATTAACAATTAACTCGTAACCTTAACAATTAACCCATAACTTAACAATCTCCCAATACAAACAATGAAAATAATAAAAAACAAAAATAATAAAATAATCATCATCAATCATTTCAACTATCATCTCAGTACATCATGATAAAAAGAGAGAGAGAAGGGTATTATGGTCTTCACATATTTTAATCTCTTGGGTTTTGTGTTTTGGGGCTCAGAAAACAAAATCTTTATTATTGGGGGCAAAACACCCGTTGACAAAGTTTTGGGGGGTGGGAAGCACGTTTTCTTGACTTTTGGGGGCTGGAAGCATTTTTCCCTTTTTTTAATACCCACTTTCCTTTACTTTTTTTTTTGTGTTTCCTCACATTATTAGAAGAGTGTTTCTTATTTTTATCTCGTCAAAAAAAAATGATGAATAATTACTTTCCATCACTTTATTTAGTTTGGTTCAATTTGAAAAGATAAGAAAGTAATTGATGTGTGAATTGATTCCCTCATTTTTTTTAAGTTTGGTACAAACTTAAAAATAGAAAAAAAACCATGGTTTGTAGGCGTCTAAAATTGCCTACAAGGTTCCGCACGCAGCTCAAAATGAAGAGTGGACGAATCGAGAAGGTTCATGTCAACCAGCTCGCGCGCGTCAGTCAACATACGCGCGTCTATCAGCTCGTGCACGTCGCTCAACACGCGCGCGTCAATCAGCTCTTGCGCGTCGGTCAATACGCGCGTGTCAATCAGCTCAAGCGCGTCGGTCAACACGCATACGTCGATCAACTCGCACGCATCGGTCAACATGCACGCGTCAATCGGTTCATGCACGTCGGTCAACACGCGCACGTCAATTAGCTCACGCGCATCGGTCAACACGCGTGCATCAATCAGCTCGCGCGCGTCGGTCAACACGCACACGCCAATTAGTTCATGCGCATCAGTCAATACGCACGCGTCAATCAGTTCGCGCACGTTGGTCAACGCGCACACGTCAATCAGCTCATGCACGTCAATCGTCTCGCACGCGTCAATCAACACGCGCGCGTCGATCAACTCTAAGCGACCGAATGCACTTGTCAGTCAACTTGCGCTAGTCGGTTAGTTCCAAGTGCCGTAAAGAAGCTAACGAGCGCATGAAACAAGTTAGCAAATCGTACAAGTCAACGAGACAGTCAAATACGCCAAACGGTGGAAAATACAAGTCCCGGAAAAGTCGAAAAACACCAAACAGTTCAGCAAAAGAGCCGAACTACCCGCACCCGCGCGAGTCGAACCGCGTTGACCCGCGCCCCTGTTCCAGCCGGCGTTCCAACTGACTTGATATCATCTACAAATTGGCGTTAAGGTCGTTATTGACTGAAGATAAGGCCAAATTCACCCACCATTCTCATCCACATACCCGCATCCGGAGCCCCATATAAAATACAAAGTCTAGGGCGGAATTATTATCAAGACGTAGAGGTGCTACTGGATTGAGGAGTCAAGGAGCACGAATTTCAGCGAAGGAAAATCAGATCTCGGCGAACTTCGGCATAAAGAAGGAGCTATTCGAAGGATCTGAACCTCGTCCGTCCGTTCCTCGAGATTAGGCTAGGTCTTAATCTCGAGAAGAGCCCTTGAATTCGCTTGGTCGATTTCAGCGCTTCAAATCAAATACTTCCTCGGTGAAGGCGAAGCTCTGCCGAATTTTCCATCAACCGGATCCGATCCATAGGCGGTCCACGGATAAACCCCGGCACAGACAAAGATTCCGCATAAGCAGAAGACCGATAAACGATCTCTCTGCGTTTGTTTAATAAAGTTGTAAACTTTTTAGTTTCATTGTGTAAGGAGATCTTATAAAAAGATCAACTTTTTATTTTATTCGAGTTTATTATAACGACCAAAGTTGTAATAGATTCGATGACAATGAAAGCAACTTTTGAACAAAACATGGTTGTCGTCACCATGGTGTGCTTACTACCCAAATAGGACAAAATTAATCTTAAAATATGACCACTCAAGGGAAGAATTTTAAAATATTTAATGAATTAAGGGTATAATTTTAAATATAAGGTAGTAATTTGTAAAATTTATAAAGATTTGATGGACTAATTATGAACATTTAATAGAGCAATTCCAAATCTTTAACTATTCGAGAGACTAATTTTAAATTTTTATGAACCTATTTGAGAGTCATATTCAAAATATGAACATTTGAGGTAAGAAATTGTAAGTGATTAAATATTTGGGGGAGTAGTTTTAAATTTACGGGGGGTAATTTGCAAAATGTTTAGAGATTTTAGGGACTAATTTCAACTAATTATGGACACTTAAGGGGAGAATTCCAAACCTCTAAAGGTTTGATAAACTAATATTATGTTTGATGAAGTAATATTCAAAATTTTAAAGGATTGAGGAAATAATTGCAAGTAATTATTAATTAACTGCAAATATCAATAATCGTGAGGTTGAGGGACTTTTATAAAAATTATCACTACAAAATAAGCTACTAATGCCAAACTTGAGAATTCACAAATTTTGCAGAAACAACATCCACGGGACTAATAGTCCCGTTCATTTGCTGGGCATGCACAAAAACGTGCACACACAGTAAACAGGACTACTAGTCCGGTCGCAGAAACAAAATCCATGGGACTTGTAGCCCCGTGAATTTCCTGGAAACATAATTATGTGGTCATAACATGTATTTGAATAAGTTTCAAAACCACAATACATATAACCGCAATTAACCTTGAATATAATGCTCATACAGGTTTAAACTTGATAATTGCCTCAATTTTGAAATTTCTGCTACATAAAGATAGACAAAACAGACATATCCTACAAAAATCACCGTAAAAACTCTCTGTCTTCGTCTTCGATCCTGCGAAAATGAGGTGTTATATTCACCCCACTAACTCTTTCCATTACTCGCTTTGCAGCTACTTCAGCCTTCGACTTCCCAACGTCGTGAATCCTACATTACCACATCCATAAATATGCAAAACAAATAAACAACTAATGAACTCAAAAGATGTCAAAAAACAAGGTAGATGTTTCCAAAAAAAAGGGGAAAAAAAGTCATCTGACTATTTGACACCTTCAGTAATATTGTTAGAGATTCAAACCATCTCCACAAAAGAGTAAGACCGACTTAAAGAAAAGGGTCAATATTAACATCAAGAAAAAATAGAAATGATAAATGTGTCGGGTACCATCATAATGTAAATTATAAGAAATATGAAAAGTTTAAAGTTTAGACATCCACTATACTTGTTTATTTTACTTGCTCCGTTTGGATACAATGATATTTTACTTGTTCCCATGTTGTTTTTGCCAAAAACAAAACATCACGCGTTTGAAAACCATGATATTTTTCGAGCTAAATCATCCTCAAACACAAAACACAACACTTATTTCAAAACATCTTAAGGTGTTTTAAATTTGGTGTTTTGGTTTTGAGTTTGAGGAGGTGTTAATATAATATTTAATATAATATAGTAAATATAATTAATATGTAGTTATTATCCACATGCTTATTATATTATATTATATTATACCATACTATAGTATAGTTAATCTAATATATTAGTAATATTTATTAAATAATATATAAATATAATAATTAAAATATCTTATATAATAATATAATAACATAATAAATACTAGTATTTAATATATTGATAATGTATTATATAATAATAAATAATTATAAAATATAAATAAACTACTAAAAAATATATTCATAATATAATAATATTTATTTATGTCATAAATTATTGAAGTATTATTAATAAACTTTAACATATTAGAAATTATAACATATTAGATGATATTAACATATTTATAATATATTAATTTATTATTAATATTATAAATATAATATTTTATTATATTGATAATAATATTATATTATATTAATAATAGCATAATATTATTTTAAAAAAAATTATAATATATCATAATAACAAATTGATATACCAAAATAATTAAATATGTTATTATTTAAAATAATATGTAATAATTATAATATAACGTAACACATTAAAGTACGTACAAGATAATATTATAATACATTATACAATATTATATTGTATTATATTTAATATCTATAATACTATAATAATGTAACCTAAATTTTATAACATTTTATGTATAATATATTTTATTATAATTAATATATAATATATTAATAATATGTTTAATGCTAATATTATAACGGGTCAAACTAGCATTGTCCAAAAACACTCAACAGGTGTTTTGAAAGCACTTTGAGAGAAAAACACAACACTATAGTGTTTTGTTATAAAAACACAACAAGAAAAATACCATGATATCCAAACGAATAGTGAAGGTAATCTGTGTATATATGCCATTGAATGCTTCCCAAGGGTGATACATGTCATAAAAAAATAAAAACTACAGAACTTAGCCTTTTATATTTTATAAATAAACTAGTGGTGGACTATTGATTACAGATCCTACACAGGATATGCAAATATATAATTTCATACAATTCATCCGCAGCATTCGTTAAGACATTGTTGTGTTACGTTATAGTCACAACAAATTGCATTACACGAACATGACTAACTTTGATTTGAATTTGGAATGTTGATTTAAAATCAAAGGATTTTAAATCTAGGATTTGAAATCAATGATTTGATAGAATCTTTTGTTTGGGTGTCTTTACAAAATGCAAGGATTTGAAATCAAAAATTTGAAATATAGTGTTTGGATACATTTTATTATACATGAATTTGGATTTCAGAATTTTTGTTTTGAGAAAATTTATGTTTTCTCTTAACTCCTCAATCTTTATGCGGATATTAAGGTTTATGTTGAGGTAAAAGTTAGGATAAATTTCACAAAGCCCCCTGAGAAGTTTGACAAAATATCCAATAGATGATAAATTCCAGTAGCTTATTTATTAATAAATTTTCAAAAATGATATCCAATATATGAATCATTATTATCTTCAAACCATCATCATTATTATCTTCAAACCATCACCATTCAATTTCATAACAAAAGGAAAACAATGTTATTATCAGTTGGATCCCAGAATATCAATTCCAATATATGTACGTCACGGGAAAACAAAAACATCCAATACAAATATGGATCCATATTTAAAAAACTCCATTTTCTTTTCAATAACAAAAAATAACATGAAACTACTACTCCTCACTGAAACCTGAAGAAAAATCTGGATATTACACAATGGCATTGGCTACACTAGCAATCCTAGGCCACAAATCAGTACAGTCATTTCCAATTGGTCCAGTAATTGTAGATCCTGAAGAAGCAGAAAACATCGATTGATATATATTAGATAAAGAAGCAAAAACAAATTTATGCATTACAGTTTTCCCTACCAACAACAATGCATGTTTAAAAAAAGGATAATCCATGGGAAAAGGATGTAGACATATACCTTTCATTTATTAGATAAAGAAGCAAAGATTTTTTAAAATACTATTCTAGATGAAAAATTTGAAAACTCAGAAATGCGAGGTACATAGAATTTTCACATGATAGGATGATACAGTAACTTTGGATGATGCAGATTTATCTACCTGCAGGGCAAAATCCGACGAGATAATCCTTCCTTCCTCTATTCAAAGAATTGGTGGAAGCTCAATGCACCTAACAAGGGTTCTACTGCTGAGGAGCTCTGTGAGGTGCCCAAGGAGATGCCAATGATCACTGAGTGAACCACAATGCCTAGCTCCAGTCCAATTTGGTTCAGAATCAGATATATGGGTATCAATGGCTGAATTTCTAATTTCTATCAAAAATGTGTTGAATAACATCAAGTTGGTTCAGAATCAGATATATGGGCGTAAATGAATAAATTCACACGATAAAGAAGAAAGTACATATAACCCAAACTGGGCGTACAAGACATACAAAAGCTAAGAAAAGGTAACAAAGATGTCTAATATACACAATGATAAGCATGAGGAGATTTTACACATATTGGTTAAGCATATTCTATAGATGAGACCAAAGAACCAAGATCACCCGCACTAGCATAATCTGCCTCCTTATTATGCATCAATTACAAGAGAAAAGATATAAGCAGTAAAACTAGAACAACGACAACAACTTTGTTCGCAATTCAACTCAAAAATGACTCATAAAATTTCGTCCCAATTAATACCACAGGAGATCTAAGAGGGACAAAGTTCAGTTGGGCTTAGTATAATCTGCTTTGTTATGCGTCAGCAACAGGAGAGTAGAAATAACCAGGATTAGGTACGACCATTTTCTTGACAATTCAACTCAAAAATGACTCATAAATCCTACCAGAACTAATATGTGACGGGAGACCAACAAGAAACAAGTGAGCCACCTTTACATGATCTTGTACAAATGTCACAAACAACCATTCACTGCTCTGTGTGGTCTCCTATGAAGCATAGATAAAGGGCTTGATTATGATCACATTTCCAGCTATTTATGGCCAATAATAGGTATTTGTCCTGATCTTTGGTATTTGTATGTTTAACATATAATAGTCCTGTCTCGTGCCTTCGACATTATGTCAATAACCACCTCAAGCAAAAGATTAAAGATTTTGGATTGTACACTAATAACGCATGCAAAATGAGTTTTTGATATTCTTTCTAATTTCTTACTAAAGTTTGCCCATAAAGCTTCAACACATCTGTTACCATTGTATATAAACATGTAACTGGATGTTCAAATGTATAGTGGACCTCAATTGACGTCTCCATTTCATAATTATTCTCACAAATCACTCCGTATAAACACTTTTAATAGTAGTCTTCTACTATGAATTAGATAAACACGTAGCTGATTACTGCTCGAGTATTAATGCTCTCTTTCCATCCTTTGCAGGATAACGTAATTAAAGACAGGTAACTAGTAACCCTGTAATTATATGAAGCTAAAAGTTATGGCACAATATCCTTCAACCTTTCTGTGCTGCTCACTTAATTAATTTTCTTTGCTTAGTATGTTTTGAGAAGTAGGTTCTCCTGAGGATCACATGGATCAGGCCATTTGTTTTGGAGGGGCGGAAGTACCCATTGGTTGCCATTGGATTAAGTTTGATCTGTGGAAGTAGTGTAGGAGTAGTAGTATTAGTTATCATTATTCTATGAAAAATAGACAAAGCGATGCCAAGGACTTGGCGGAGGGATTAATGTATTTACAAATTAATCTCTCAAGTATGCATATTTAATAATTACCTCTATATTCTCATTTATGGAAGTTTTATGCCCCTCTCATTTAACACAGTTAGAGCTCATTGGATTAAGTTTGATCTAATTAAGGCATCATCTTACGTTTGATCTAAAGACATGCAGTAAGTATCAGGGGATGACTTTGTACTGAAATTAATAGAACGAACATAGGATTTCAATGTTAAATTATCGCTTAAATAGGACGAATCGAGAATAAATGACACATATTTGCAATAATGAGATGTTAAAATGCGCATCAAAAGTTGAAAAATTTTACCTTTGAGAGCGGTGATATCTCTTATTAGTCCCCTCTTCGAATCGCGAAACCGAAAAGAAAAATGTATGATTTTTATTCCCAAAACCACGTAAACCGTAGCTTGGGCTTCAACGAAAGCGAATACAACTCAAAACATTGAGCAAGCGCTTGGAGATTTTCTCCTCTTTCTCAGTGAGATCGATCTTCTCCTTCACCGTCACCGGACCCGCCATAAGTCAACTTCTCTCGAAGCCGGCGGCGCCGTCGCAATTGAAGCGACGAATCGAAACCCTAATCTAGGGAATTTGGGGCGGGATGAGATGAATTTGGGTGGGAGGAGGAGAGGAGGGAGGGATTTGAGGACGGGGGGAGAGAGAAGAAAGGGGGAGATCTATGAGATTGGGATTTGATAAATACTAAGGGGCAGTCTGGGATTTGAAATATCTGAATTTGGGATTTTAGTTTCTCCTCTTTCAAATAATTTGATTTGAAATCTCAGCCCAATTGAAAGCCCAAACTAAAGATTTGGATTTGAAATACTCTAGATTTGAAATCTAAGACCCAAATCCAAGTTCCCAAACGCAGCCTAGGGGTATGGAGGAATACTTGAAGAGAAACTGTCGGTTGAGGTTGGAGACCTGGGGTCCATATCGATGACGTCTATGTTCTTGAACTCAGAAAGGGCCAGGTCTTTGAGCAGTTCTCAGCCGAAGCCTGATTCATTAATAGATATCAAAAGGACAGCATTAGAAGTCTAGATATGCCATGAATCACCAAAAAAAAGAAGAAGAAGAATGAAAGTTATATTCATCTCTTCCTTCTTGGGAGACAACAAACAAAATTACTGACATTGATGAATTGGTGGAAAGTTGATACCTGAGAGAGTAAATCTGCAGCGATGTGGGCAGAGTTTGCATGCTTATCTGCAGGGAATTGAAGGAGAAAGAACAAGAGCATGACAGTGTGCGGTTAATATTGATCATGACTCCCGCCTACAATTGGTCTCAAAATCAAGGCTTTCTTCCTTCTCAAAGCGGTCAACCATTGTTTCACGCTCCTCCTTAGACTTCAACCATCGAGCTCGATCTTCGAGCAGTCTGGAATGCATCTCATGGTTTTTAAGTAAAGGAATGTCAGTCAAATGTTATAAAATGCATTTTATGATTTTTAAGCAAATAATTTTTTTTAGCTATTTCAAATAATTATTTAGCTATTTCTTCTATTCCTCCTTCTCAAACACATAAGCTTAACAACCAAGGCATAAACATTACTAGACGAAAAAGCTTAACAACAAATACATAAACTTAACAACCAACGCATAAGCTTAACAACTAATGAAAAAGCTCAACAACCGACGGAAAATCTTAATAACCAATACATAAGCTTAAATACCGACTAAAAGTTTAACAACCAACGCGTAAATTTAACAATCAATGAAAAAGCTTAACAACCAATACATAAACTTAATAACCAATGAAAAAGCTTAACAATAAACGTATAAGCTTAACAGCCAACGTGTAAGCTTAACAACCGACGAAAAGCTTAACAACCAACACATAAGCTTAACAACTGATAAAAAAGATTAACAACCAATACATAAGCTTAACAACTAATAAAAAAGCTTCAATGCATAAACTTAACATCCAATGCATAAGCTTAACAATTGATAAAAAAGTTTAACAATAAAGGCATAGCTTAATAGCCAACGTATAAGCTTAACAACTAATGAAAAACTTAACAACTATTGAATAAGCTTAAGAACTATCAAAAAAGATTATCAACCAACACATAAGCTTAACAACTACAAAAAAGTTTAACCAACGTATAAGCTTAACGACTGACGAAAAAAGCTTAACAATAAACGCCTAAGCTTAACATTCAATGACTATGCTTAACAACTGATAAAAAAGTTAAAACAAATATATACTAGCTTAACGACCAATGCATAAGCTTAGCAACTAGTAAAATAACTTAATAATAAATACATAAGCTTAACAACCAATGCATAAACTTAATAACTAACGAAAAAACTTAACAACAAATAAATAAGCTTAACAACCAACGAATAAGCTTAATAACTAATGAAAAGGCTTGATAACAAGCGCAAAACCTTAACAACTAACTTATAAGATTAACAATTAACCTATAAGATTAACAACGAAGTAATAAGTTTAACAATTAACTCATAAAATTAATAGCTGATTCCTTAACTTTGAATGATCAACCAAAATATTTTAAAATATTGAAACTCGCGAACTAAAAAAAAAAAGATATTAATAGAAAGAGGAGGAGGAATAGAGGAAATAGCTGAAAATATTCATTTTGCTCAAAAATAAAAAAATGCATTACATAACATTCCACTAACATATTTCACAACCACTTATTGTTCAATGGAAGCTTATACTGGATTACAAAGTTAAGATGATTGTAGCCTAACATTATAATAGTATATTTCAACTTATTTTTATTTAATTTACCATTAATTTCCAGAGAACTTCATTGAAATCAGACTCAACCTCCGTTAGCTAACCAAATATCTTTTTTGAATCACCCCAATTCACATAAATAGCCCAAATCTCACCATTTTTGGGGGAAAATCTTAATAAAAAAACATAGACATGAATCCAAATCTTAAGAATCCACCATGACCAATAAAGAAGAAGAAGAACCAAACTCTTCTCATCTCCACCTCCATCAAGATCTTCTTCCCCAATGTCATTAGCTCCCTTTCTTGCTTCTTCATCCTCAACTACTCCTTTACCAGATCATGTAATTCCTCAATTTTACACAAAATCAACTCGAATTAATAAAAACTCATTTCTTGACTTTCTTGAATTTTGCAGCTCCGAAGAAAATCTCAAAACTCCATGAGTAATGGCGGGAATTCAAGTGGGCTCTCGACTCCCTCATCGAACCCACCTCTAAAATCGATGGGCCTAATTTA